AAAGAAAACTGGAGCTATCACTGAGAAGTAGAAGACTACACTTTCACGTTATATAACTGGCAGTGAACTCATTTGTTCATTCGGGGAAACCTGGTGCAGTCTGACCGGTTTATTCCTGGGCAGGCTCATTGTTGGCACTTCCTATTGTGTCACTGAATCTGTTTCCTTCACAGAACAGATGTGTTGTGTATCTTCATCTTGTGTATCTCGCTCATTCATTCACAAAAACCTGATTCAAATCATATGAAATAAGTGGATTCATCATACTGATGAGAGAAACAACCTGACTTTGGATGGATGGTGGAACAGAATCTTTTAACAAACAAAATATTTGCTGTTTTTTGTTGCATTTTGTGTTTGACATAAAGAAAATAAATAAAGAAACCGATGTTGCTGGGTGATGGAAGTATGTCTTTTGTAGAAACTGCAATCTGAGATATGAGACTGCACAGTGGTCTCAGGGGAGAATTCAATGGTAGTCAGTAGGAAGACTTTGAACGTAAAGAAGAGGAAGCAGCTAAAATAAGAGATGAAGAGCTCTGGGTGGAAGGAAAAAGTTACCAGATAGCTGGGAAAGCACTGAGGGAAACATCCAAGAAGGTGTTTGGTGTACTGAAGAAGACTTGGTGTTGGGATGAGGAAGTACAGGAAAGCATTCAGATGAAGAGAGAAAAAGTGGGATAGTCAGGGAGTTGAAGGACATAGACAGGACTGCTGGATTAATAAAAACGTTCAACATTGCTGCCTGGAAGCTGAAATGGTGAGCTGCAGGGAAGTGTTGGGTGTGTCGTCAGACAGGTGTCAGAGAGAGGTGTGCTTAATGCAGACAGAGAGGAGGAGGACAGAGGAAGGTTATTTAAGCCTCAGCAGGTCTGGAGGTTTGGATCTTACAGCGATGGCTTTCTACAAAGTGATGTGTTTGGCTGCTGGGCTGATGCTCCTGACCCAAGGTAAGAGCTCTCTGCACACACCTGCATCAGGTACGACTGAGAGGGCGAAAACACTCAGGAGCACATCGCTTCACTTTAAAGTGACACTGCAGGAAATCCTGGAATTTAAAAATTCACTTTTCGAAGCTGGAGGGAATATCACACTGGGTGGAGATTCAGAAGGGAAAATAATCAAATTAAGAAAGGCATTGGAAAAATGGAAAAGTGGAATAAAATCTCCCAAAGTCACATATCTAGCAATAACTGCACTTTGAAACAAAACCTTTTCCCTCTTAATACCTGAAATTCCTTTTTATTTTCATTTCAGTTTCTTTTTGGTTACATATTTTCTAATATGGGTGGTTTTCGTCAACACTCAGGACTTAGAGCAGGTATCACAGTGTAAATATGTGGCTCACAGTCCTTTGTAGATTGTACATTCCAACACATTCCCATCCCAGCACGCAACATACCGACGGCTGTGACAATTCATCCGTA